CCCTAAACCCTAAACCCTGGGCCGGGCGTTTTGGGTGATCAGGGCTCCGCTGAGTCTTCGGGCGTTTGGGTGTCAGGCTCAGGGGCCGTCTTGCGCCGGGCTTGCAGGGTTTTGGGTTTCGGGTTTAGGGTTTAGGGTTGAAGGTTTTAGGGTTTTGGGTTTAGGGTTTAGGGTTTAGGGTTGAAGGTTTAGGGTTAGGGATTAGGGTTTAAGGTTGAAGGTTTAAGGTTTAGGTTTTAGGGCTTAAGGGTTTAAGGGTTTAAGGGTTGAAGGTTTAAGGTTTTAGGGTTTAAGGGTTGAAGGGCTTAAGGGTTTAGGGTTTAAGGGTGAAGTGTTTAGGGTCGGCTTTGGGCCCAGGGCTTCTCGAATCCCCTTGCCGTGTACCCTCGGCCTACATTGGACACTCTAAGCCCTAAGTCCTCGAAAGGAGATCCCGCATCCTGGAGGTGAAGGGCAGATTCAGAGTAATGTGGATGGAAACACAACTCAAGTAGGGTTTAGGGTTTAGGGCTTAGGGTTTAGGGCTTAGGGTTTAGGGTCTCGGGTCGAAGAGACTGTTCGGTATTGAGGCTTCGAGAAGCATAGGCGGCTTGGTTCAGCCATATGAAGACTGGTGAGGCGCCGGCTGCATTGACACTGTGACCCAAACCCGACATCCTAGTCTACACCCTGAATCCATATAGTACCCTTATAGAGACCCTATAGAGGCTCTTGTAGAGCCCTTTAAAGAATCCTACAAAGGGACCCTGAATCCTCAATCCCGAACCCGGCACCCTGAACGGAAGTTTTCATCGCCCTGGCCTGACCCAGCAGTGCCTTCCCTCGCGGCCGGGAGGATCATCGAAATTATTTTCTGGCCCCCACTGGAGAAGGATTAGCTCGCTGTGGCCATCGCCATCCCAGTCCACCGCTTGCGTGTATGCCTTGCGGCGATGAGGATGTATTTTGGGGCAGTTTAGGATCCCTATACTAGACCCTAAACCCACAGCGTTCCGTTTCTGTAGGTTTAAGGGCTTAGCTTAGGGACCTCGGGATTTTAGATCCAAGGCGCCTACGTGGCGTAGCGACTTTACCTCTCAGGCTGCGTTCCTACCCCTGCGGGGAGCCTCGGAATTCAGAAAGCTCCTGCTCACAACCAGGCATGTTTAGGGTGTACTGTTTTAGATTCTAGAGAATTTGGCAATGATAGCAGAGATGGCCATAGCAACCGCGACAACGACGACGACCACTAGCACCACCTCCACACCTCTGCTTGGCAGATATGTGCCGGGATTCCAACAGGGTTGGGCTGACCCTATCTGTCGAAAGGCTCAGCACTTCCCTGCTGTATTGACCAACCTCACCACCAGCACCAATAAGAACAAGGTCCGCCAAGTAGTGTCATCCCACGAAGCGTATCAACATAGTCCGTCGCTTGCCCTTCTTGTTGAAATCCTTTCCAACTTCGATAGAACTTTAGAAACATTAGCCCCGGAACCTACCCCCAATCAATATCAATACATATATATATATATATACATAAATATATGTATTATATATATATATATATATATATATATATTATATATATACATATATATTATATATATATATATATATATATGTGTGTATATATATATATACACATGCTGAGAATCTCAAGTTTACGCTTTCGGGTTTGCGGTTTAGGGCTTTGGCGGCTCGAGGGTGCCTACCCCTAAAGTTCCACACCCTCAACCTCCCTACTAGCGTTTAGGGTTTAGGGTTTAGGGTTTAGGGTTTAGGGTTTAGGGTTTGACTCCCTATACTTCAGCTCTACTGCCGGCCTCTGCATCAAGAAAACATTGAGGAACAGCAGAACTGTTCGGAAACTGCGTAGTTCGTTTTCCTGGGGTTTAGGGTTTAGGTAGACCCTAAGCCCTGAGCCCTAATACCATCCAATACCGCTTTGAGTCGTCAGGTTGCCCCGTTCGGCACATCCAGGAGCTTGGTGCGCGTCCGCTCCTTGTCCCAGAAGCTAACCCAGAGGGTCCGAGGACCCAAATAGCAAGGTGTTCGGGCCCAAAATCCATACTCTGAGTGGTTTTTGGACCATGAAACCCTACTATTTGGGTACTTGGACCCTTAGGCTAAGGTTATGGGACTGGGCTTTTTGGGTTTAGGGTCGAAGGTTTGGGGCTTAGAGGTTCTGGGTTTTAGGGCTTCTTTTTGCGGGTTGTTGCTTTGCAAGTGTGGACTTCAAAAAAAGGACAGGGTCTTGGGCTTTGGGCTCATTCCACAGCAAGCGGCATATTTCACATAACGACAACATTCCCATCGCGACCGAACCAGGAAACATCTAAGGATATCCAAACCCTAAACCCGGAGACTCCAAACCTACCCACGAAAGGCCCTAAACCCTTCAACCCTCAACTTTAACCCCGAAACCCTTGAACCCTAAACCCTAAACCCCTAAACTCTAAACCCCAAACCCTTAAACCCTTAACCCAAAACCCCAAACCCTCAACCCTGAACCCTTAAACCCTTAACCCTAAACCACAAACCCTTAAACCCTAAACCCCTCAACCCTAAACCCCAGACCCTTACACCCCAAACCCTTAAACCCTCAACCCCTACACCATTGAACCCTCAACCCGAAGTCCGAAACCCTTAGACCCGAAATCTCTAAAGCTTTGGTCCTGCAGGTTACCCTCACAGCTGCCGGCCCGCGGCCGACACCATGCGGAAGCTCTCCACCTGGTCTCTTCGGGTTTGGGGTTTATAGGGTTGAGGATTTTGGATTTGGGGATTCCGGGTTTAGGGTTTAGCTTTTGGGTTTTCGGGTGTAGGGTTGAGGATTTCGGGTTTAGGGTTTAGGTTTTAGGATTAGGGTTGGGGATTTCAGTTTGGGGATTTCGGGTTTGGGGTTTAGGATTTCGGATTTGCATTTAGGGCTTAGGGTTGAGGATTTTGTGTTTAGGGTTTTTATTTTTTCAATGCCAAAAAAACCGAAACCCCAAATCCTCAACCCTAAGCCCCAGGGCTTAGGCTTGGGGTTTAGGGTTGAGAACTTCGGTGCTTGAAGCATGTCGCTGGGAATCCTGTGCCCACTCAGCGACCGCCATGAAACCCTTTAACCTCCCAGACCTCCCACAATCATGCCCTCGTCTTCGAGGAGGGCCGTCTTCCCGCTAACCCTCAAGACCCTAAACCCTAAACTCCTAAACCCTATACCTGTAAACGCTATAAACCCATGACCTCATCATGCCCTCAGGCCTAAACCCTAAACCTAAACCCTAAACACGAACCTGTGACCCCTCTCCAGAGCTCCCATGACCCTGCTCCCAAACTGTGCTGCTCCCAGATCTGGCTTGAAGGCCGAGACCCTTGAGGGGCCTAATTCTGGCAATCCAAGCTTTTGGGTTTAGGGTTTAGGGTTTAGGAGCCACTTCAGAATCAAGGCCACTACAATACTGGAAATAGTGGCTGCAAGCCCCAGTCAGGTAGCGATAACTCCCCTACAGCCTTCCCATGACGGCAACTGTCACAACGCGTCATGACCGATGGCCAGAATCGCTGAAACTTTCGAGTGGAAGTTATAGGGTCTGGGTAAAACCTTAGGACGTGCCGAGAAGGGTTTCTGGTTCAGTGGCGGCTTGCTAAGGATCATGCGTCCTTCCTGGAGGAACCCACTTTTTGTGGTAGTAGGAAATTCCACGCTAAACCCTCAACCCTGAAACCCTAAAACCCTAAACCTTAAACCACCAAATAGGGATTCAAGGGTTTCGGCTGTTCGGGAACTTCGAAACGTTCAGGTTGTACAATCGTACCCAGAGAACCCCATATCCCTTAATTGAGGAATATACCTTAAATCCGAATATTAAGGCCCCTATTTTTGTTAAGGTCCATTCCTTAATTAAGGTGTATTGGGTTCTCTGGGAACCTGCTCCCAAGCCTTTAAACTTCAACCCAAACCCTTAAAGCCTATTGGGCTTTAGGGCTTGGGGCTTAGTGGCCCAATTCCCAATCTCTGCAAGGACCCCCCAGGTGCCCTTCAATAGAGCCCTTATGGTCCGCAATAGAGGGCGTTTCGGGTATATTAGACAGTAGTTGGGGGGGGTCTAGGTGAACCGCAAGCTCTAAACCCAAAGCCCTATAGACCCTACTTCAGCAATGCATAATCAGACACATTGAACCATCTCAGCACCTGTTGCATCCTGTAACCCAGGATGTGGGCCTAAACCCTAAACCTTGAACCTAAGCCCGGATTTAGGGTATTTGGACTTTAGGGACTTTAGGGTTTAGGGCTTCATTGAATCTTGAACAATTGAAACCCCAAACTGAAATCTTAGGGTTTAAGGTTCAGAGCTTAGGGTTTCGGGTTTAAGGCTTAGGGTTTAGGGTTTTGGGGCTTAGCGCTTAGGGCTCAGTGTTTAGGGCTTACCCATAGGCCC